GATACTAATTGCATTTTAAAAAGTTGATTATCAAATATATAAAATTTAATACAGATTACTAAAAATGCGTATCATTTTCATATATAATATTTTTATTTTATTTTTTTTATTTTATGTAAAATTTATACATTATTTCAAATTCCTAAATAATTCTGTATACATCAATTTTCTAAAAAATTATAAAAAAATATATCATTATAAAACATATGGAATTTTGATATAGAATCATTAATTATGTATACAAACCTTATAAAAAACATATCATTTCCTTATTTCGATTTCTTATAGGGCAGGTATTGTGTGATACATAAAACTGTATGATTTTCCATAAGAAATTTCTTTGTAACTGAACAAGTAGGTGTATATACTAATATACATTAGATTCTGGTTGATTGATCTATCAATCAACATTGATCATACCTAAATACTGAATAAGTAGATGCAAATGAAGCCAGAGATCAACAGAAATTGGCCGTCGCTGATTGGTCTGTAATGGATACAGTCTTACGTATCACATGGCAGGGGTCCTTATTTCTGTATATGATCTTAAAGATTGTATATAAATTAAGGAAGTGATTGACCAGAAATTAGTAAATTAGATCAACGGTGATAATAAACTGCATTGCACACTGCAGCGTTGTCTAATAGAGCATATCATTGGGTTTGAGGTTAGGTTTGATTTCTAAGATGTTTGTCGATATAGCCTGATCATCACCCCACTAGTTTACCATTTGGGCAAATTTTGTGGTAATAATCCCATGAAACTTGCGGCATTAGTTGAATAAGAGTATACCCTAGCAAGGTATATGGTGTAATGGATCTCTCAGTCCTATAATGATATGTAGTTCCTGAATAGCTGGTAACTGGAAGGGTGAGGTCAAATCCTCCCAATGGGCTCAAGCTAGCAACAGCACCACTATGGGCGACGGCAATATCTGGGCCAGTTACTTAGTGTAGGTTGCCAATGGCAATGACCGGCAGAGACCTATAGGTGAGCCATATTGTGTTAGGATACTTGAGACCCTTTCCAGTGCTTTATCTGACACACTTCGTACTGAACAAAAAAATAAAATAAATAAATAAATAAATTATTTTGGATGGAACTTTTCCACCCTATTCACAAAAATAACTAAAAATGCAAACAAGTCAAAGAAACCTAACACTTACGGACGTTTGAGTTCGCCAGTTACTAGTAGACTAACTCTATCTCTAGCAAAGAGACTACAGCTCGATAACCAAGAACAACAACAACAGCAACAATAACAACTAGAACCTTCCACCTCAACGTTAGAGAACTTCAGTATTCCAACTGATATGGAAGTAGAAAATACTTCAACTTCTATCCCAAATGACAAAGGTAAAGCACCTGAAAATATTATTCTCTCAGTCAATAAAGAAACCTTAGATTATGACCAGTCCTTTGACGTTGCTGAAAATATACTAGACAAAAATAATGGAAACAACGCTTTTCACTTCAAACGCGAAACTGGAGTCCCATTTTTTTCACTTTCTGCGCAGCAGATATCTTCCTTCCTAACAAACTGAATAAAGAAAAATGTATTGCTGTTTGTGATTTATTTAACAGATTACAATTTCCTTTTTTTACTGATGCTACAGTCAGAAACCACCTACAGGAAGTAACAAAGAAAATTATCCGTATTAGTTTTACTACATGAGATGACTTTGAACATGCTATTAAGATCCCTATTCCTAATTTAGATAATTCCACGTTTTTACCATTAGATATTACATCACCAACGAGATTTACCTCTGAAATGTTTATCAAAGTTACCGAGATCCTGATTATAACAACGGAATCTAACATCAGGTCATCATTTGCCTTTTTTAGTACCATCGTACATTATATCATGATCATCAAAAATTGTGGCAACAAGCCACAATTACTTTCGCTACAGATACTGATATGTCTCAATTTAATGATTACTATGGATTTTTTGTTCTCAAAGATATGGTCTGTATACATCTATGTTCTCTTTCCAACGAAGAGATTCGCCTCAAATCAAAATTCTCCTTAAAACTCATTAACCTTTCAGTTGATACCAACAGATGACAACTTAAAGAAATTGGTCATGCTATTCACGCTATGGCATGGGTCATTCTTAAATCCAAAGTATCTTATAGAAACCTTCAATATGCAGTCATGTACTTTCCGGATCAAGAGACCCTTGACTTAGCCAAAGAAGAAGACTCCATTTATCTTGATAGAGAAAGGCTTACCTGGACAGATTCCAGCCAAAAATTGTGTTTTATTTGTTCAGCCCCAGGTCACATATCTCATAATTGTAAATGTAAATATACACCCCTAAAAGATCGACAACTTCAAAATCTTTACCAACATTATCAACTCGCTTAATTCAAAAATTACTCTGCTCCTCCAATTAAACCAAAACCTACTCCAAAACCTTTCACTAACAACTGTAACAATAGTAACAAAGGTGGATTTACACAATATAATATACACCTGGTCTAAATGGTTCTTTTTTTGCACATATTGTCCAATTAATTGATGATGATTTTACCGATCCACCACCTGTCCCAAAAAATAAACTTTCATCTAAAGAAGTTCCTAATTATAATACCCCAATAATAAGGGCTACACATTGGATGACAGTATTCATACGTCTGGACCTTGGGCTGACGAAACTGAAAAAGATATCGTTCGTCATCAGAACAAATATCAACCATCACAATTTGACGCTATCCTGATACAAATCAATAATGTTTCTCAACAGCTTGCTGATATTTATAACAATCTCGCTTTTACTCTTACCAGAATCAATATGATTGAAGCGGTACTTAATATCTCTTCTATCTTACCTAAACAGGCAAAGATTATCAACTCTAATCCACTAAAAGACCCAATTGATGAGATGGATGAAGACTTGGATCAGAATGACATTATTATGGCTGGAATTGACATCTCAAAGTCTATTATTCGTCAACAGAAAGCCCAGGTTACTGAGCTCCAAATAGAAAACTCTATTCTCAAATAAAACTTAAGTGCCAACTTCGACAGACTTATAATGCCCTTGCGGCAGTAGCTCAAATGCAAAGAATGCTTATCCATCATGAGATGATGCCTCAAGATAGATTGATTCCTATTATGGAACTTGTAAAATCAGCACTGTCTTCTTTCTATAATAACAAAAATTATAAAGGTCCACAACCACTAAAACAACTTTAATTAATGATTAATACAACTGATACGAATCAAAATATAAATGATAATCTACCTGTAGAAGATATTAATAATCATCATATTTTAAAAACAGCTACTCACAACATTTATTCTTTCGCCCAATAATTTAAATAACAAATTTTAGTCCAACTTTACCTTCTCCACCATTTAGATATTATAGGTATTCAAGAAACTGATTTCATTACAACCTCCAACAAATCTTTGTCCAATATTCTTGATCCTAATTATAAGATTTTTCTCAACCATAAACAAAACATACAAAAATCTGGCTTTGGTGTGAGAATTATTATTAAAAAACATCTAACCGATCACATTTATTTTAGTAATAGTGATTTAGGATGATATATTTATATTGATCTTCAATTTCGTAACAAATATCAACTTTGCATCATTAATTGTTATATTTTTAGCTCTAATTTCACACTTCGTAATAATACTTTCGATGCAGTCACCAAACTTCTCAACTAAGCACGATTGAATAATATAGATATTATACTTTTAGACGACTTCAACGCAGTACCAAAATGAGCTATTAATCCATCAAACTCTAATAGATTTTTTGATCAATTGGATAATGCTAATATTTTTAACGCATGTGATCTTCTACATAAGAACGCTAATTTGGACTTCCTCACCTTTTATAATAATATATATCTTACTCCTTCAAGAATTGATCACATTTTCTGTTTGATATGTCTAACAACTGATCATCAAGAGGTATCTACAATCAATATAGACTATAACCTATCTGATCTGCAATAGCTACAACTTCCTTTTTTATTCCAGAAATTGTATCTTTGACATCCAGGACTCCTGTTAAAAAGGTTTCCTTTCAATATGACAATATGTCGAATGATGATTAGTCAGCTTTTGCTCACAAAACTGATACTCTTCTTACCTCATGTCAACTGGCTACCTTGGAAAAGCATAAATTAAAATCTAAACAAGCTTTGAATTTCTATTGGGATTTGATCCAAGGATGCATTATTAAAGCTACTGAAAATGTATTTCAATTCACTGTTAATCACAGCACTCACATGATATCAGACCTAAATCCTTAAAGAAAGTTTATCAACAAATAAGAATAGCTCAAAAACTTGAAAAGCTTTCTAAGAAAGCATTTATATCCAATCACATTCCTATGTAATGATCCAATATTTATGACAAAACAGTTAAAATTGCAGTTGCCTTAAAATTGGAATTTTTGCCTATCACTGTGTGAACACCACCAGCCATTTATGCAATCATTCCTACTATTAGATCTCTTATTTCCACTTTAACTGTCATAGCCAAAACAGAAGAAGAAGAACACAAATCTAAATCTATTAGACTTGCACTTGAACAACACTGCAACAACTTCTTAACGAATCAGACTAAAGTGATTGATTCAATCCTTCATAGAGAAAGAAAAGTTATTCCTTAGACTGTATAGCAGGCAAATTTGCCTGCGAAATTAAAAAAAGTGTTAATTTCTTTATAAAATGTTAAATATTAATTTTAGTAATATCATTACTATATAAAAAATATAGTTTAATATATATTTTATCAACTTTATT